AATCCCCTATTTGTTTAAGCCACTAGAGTTGGGGTTTTTGGTTTGGTTATTACTTTCTACAAAAAGCTTTCTGACCTACCTGGGCATAGTGGCTCCCACCTGTAATCCTAGCACTTTGGGAAGCTGATTGCTTGAAGCCAGGAGTTCAAGATTAGCCTGGGCAACGTCGTGAAATCCTATCTCTACAAAAAATTTAAAAATTAGCCAGGCATGGTGGGAGACTGAGGCAGGAAGACCTCTGGAGCACACGAGTTTGAAGTTGCTGTGAGTTATGATATGCTACCGTACTCTAACCCAGGCAATGGAATGAGACCCTATCTCAAGGAAAAGAAAAGCTTTCTCACCTGATACACACATTTGATTACTCTATTTATGAATCTGGTAAACTTAAATAAAACAAATCTCTTTAGGGGAAAAGAGGATTGGATTAACATTTGATTAACTCAAGTTGCATAATCTACCAGGGGTGTCCAACCTGTGGCCCACGGGCCACACACAGATTATTTGAGGACTCTTTGGCTATCTGAATAAGCAGAAGTATGCACAGAACTCTTTTTTTTTTTTTTTTTTTTTGCTCATTATCTTTCATTAGTGTTTGTGTATTTACTGTGTGACCCAAGACAACTCTCCTACATACAGCAGAGAAGAAGAAAGTTTGGACATGCCTGAAACCATCGGTCTCATTTACAAGCTTTGTTCATGCAAGTCTCTTAGACATTTTAAACTCCTTTTTAAATGTATCATATTTGATTTTCTATTTTAGCACTTCAAATCATTGACATGGCGAGGTTATATCTAATTAAGGCAACACGTTCTCATATACTTACACAGCTCTTCCAAATCTAACAAAGCAAATTTATAAACATAATGAATCTATTCTAACACTGTTAAGGAGCTAAGTCAAATCTTCTTATACCTTTCAACTTAAAATAACAATCTGAAAATCAATTTTTGCATTTTAAATAGGAATCTCAAAATTTTAAAACATTTAAATCACTTAAGGACTATACACAAAACAATCCCTAAGTTAACATGAAAATATCCATATTATGGATTTGGTTTATAGCATCATCTCCGTATTTAATTCTACACCTTCCCAGACTTGGGAAGTCACCCAACAAGGGAACAATTTGCTCTCTCAAGGGACTGACAGCTACTCGGTCAAGAACTCGTGACCACAATGTGGTGGACGTCTCAGAACTGAGGTTGCTTAGGAGGCAGAGGGGCAGTGTCCTCAGCAGCATCTGTAGTTACTACGACAACAGGAGGCTCTCGGTCTGCACCCTCCAGAAGGGTTTGATTTTTCAGAACTATCATTCTAATTGCCTCTTAATTATTATTTTTAATTTTTTTTTGAGACAGAAGTTCACTCTGCCCCAGCCTAGAATGCCATGGTATCAGCCTAGCTCACAGCAACCTCAAACTCCTAGGTTTGAGGAGTTTTTTCCTCAGCCTCCTGAGTAGTTGGCACTACAGACACCCACGACAACACATGACTAGTTTTTCTATTTTTTTTTTTTTTTAGTAGAGAAGGGGTTCTTGCTCTTGCTTAGGCTGGTCTTGAACTCATTAGCTTAAGTGATCCACGGGCCTCAGCCTCCTCTGTGCTAGCATTATAGGAGTGAGCCCCGGTGCCCAGCCTATTTCTGATTTTGAATTATTAGAATAGAATAAAGTTGGCAGCTCCCCCAACGACACCTAATGTCCTTGATTGCCTCATTGGCTTCCGCATTGACGTGGCACTCTGCAGACACTGCTGACGTAGTGTATTTCCAGCTTGCTCTGAAGACATTCTAATGCCTTTGAATTTAATCCTGAACCTTCAGCTCTGAGCCATGACTCTCAAATCATGATAATGACAAACCATTCACCTTCTTTGTGACTTTTTAGGGATTCCCAAAATGGGATTAAAGTATCTCACATTATATTAGAACTACTGTGCTGAACTTGGTTGGCGGGAGTCACTTCAGGGGCTGTGCTCCCTCCAGTCTGCCCTCCCTCCAGCCTGCCCCCACGTCCTGTGCCCCAGCTGAGGTCACTCAAATGAAGTCTGGTCTCAGCTGCAGCCCCAGGAGCTCATTGGCTCTGCCCCACGGCCAGGAGTTCCCCTTCCATTCCCGCCTCTGGTCTTCTGCTACTCACTCTCTGAGAAGGGTAAATAAATACCTCCTTCTCTGAATGTGCAGCCCCCCTTTTTTGGTATATGAGGTTACAGGGTCACCGTAACAACAGAGCTGAAGCAACATTTTTTCTAGAACTTTCATTATATATGTGAATTGAAAACATTATATTATTATTGTTTTTGTTCCACACAAATTATAAGGGACCACTCTGCCGATACCTGGCAAAGTAACAATTATATTTCTCATGTTTCTCAGGCAAAATATCCACTAACAACTATATGTGTTTCTTCCAGTTATAGATATTTCTAAAAGATAGTTCTAAAATGTTTTTAAAATCATGTGAGTTTGAATCCACTTTGGAAACTCCAATATTTGGAGAATGTAATCGGTGGGTCATGTCTCTAAGATGAATAATCACCCCCAACCTGTAACTTGGCTTAAAATGGGGTGTACTTTTTGGGAGGTTAAGAATATGTAATAAACACTTCCCCCTCATTTCACCCATCAGGGAAGTCACTCTTCCTTTCATAGGAAGAAAATTAGAAGTAAAAATAGGGTCTGTGCCCTGGTACTTCTGAAGTGGGCAGAGGTAGAACGTACAGGGAGAAAGGAATCTTAGTCCCCTTTACATACATTTGTATTGATTTCCTTTGGTGTGAAGTGATATTATATTGAAAGCAGTATCAGACAATATCAAGACAGCTTAAGATCTGAGAAGAAAATCTTTATACCTTTCACAAGCCTATTCTGATTTTACCAATTTCTTCAACTTTCCTTCTTTCTTCTTTTTCCTTTTTTTTTGTTATATCCAGTTTTACCATATTTTCCTACGTATAATACACTTTTTTTTGCCCAAATTTTTGAGGGAAAAATAAGGATGTGCAGTACACATGGGTAGTACTGATTTCATATCTATATGTGTAAATGTTTTTAATTATTTTATTTAAGCTTATGGGTAAAAAGTGTAACTCTAAAAATCAATAATGATTTCCATATGCAAAATCATACCCTGGAACACGGTAATCAGTTTTGTTAAACTTACAAAGAACTTGCAATTAAAGCAAGTTTGGTCAATAAAGGGTGATGTATTTCCATTTATACACTTTAAGTGGGAGCTAGCAATCTAACTGATGTTTTTTCAAAAATTACTGGAAAATCCCTTGGGAAGTTTTTTTTCCTGAAAGTTTGGGTCAAAAATATGGGAGTGCATTATGCATGGCAAAATACATATTCCCCAAATTCAGAGCTCCTTGTTTTGGCGAAGAGATGTCCATCCAGTGCCTCCTCACATCTGGGCCCCCTCCCCTTCTAGGCAGGGGAGGATGACCTTGCCCCATTTCCTGGTGAGGCCATAGGATTAGTTCTAGTCTGTGAGACTGAGGAAGTCACACAGTCAGCCTGTGTATGTCACTGGGGTGGGCCCCTGCAGTGTTACCCAGGAAAGAGGCAGCCACCTAGCCAGTGTGGCTACAGGATTGCTGAGTCACCCCAGGTGGAACAATAGTCTTGGAGGGTTGCCTGGGCCTGCAGGGGACTGTACCTGCCCAAAATAAACTCTTTTCATGTCAGATCACTAAAGCATTGGACTGCCACTGCCGTATGGGGCTCTGAAAGGGTGGCACTCAACTAGCAGCATCACATTACCTGGAGATCTGTTAGAAATGGATTATCTGGGCACCAGCCAGGCCTACTGAGTCACATACTCTGACAGCGCAGCACAGCCCCGTGTCCTTCCACACACACCCGCCCTCGTGACTGTAGTTTGAAGACCACAGCTCTAGTCTATCCTGGCTAACACAGCCTTCAATTAAAAATTCCTTCTTGGAAAAGTGAAGTGGATTCACTCTTCAAGTGAGTCCTATCAGTAAGATAGAAACCATTTTCAAGTTTCTCAATCAATTATTCTTCTTGCAGTGATATAATCCTTTTATTATCTGGTAATTAGGCCATGAGGGTGGAGCCCTCATGAATAAGATTAGTGCCCTTGTAAAAGGGACCTCAGAGACCTCTATGACCTTCTTTCCACTACATGAGGACACAATAAGTCAGCAGTTTACAACCTGGAAAGGGGTCTTCACCAAAACCCAACCATGCTGGCACCCTGATCTTGAACTTCCAACCTCAGAACTGTGAAAAATAAATGTCTGTTGTTTATAAGCATATAAAGGAAATCAAAGTCTCAGGTGGCCCTCTCAACTTATGCAAAAGAGAAAGGCCACAGGCAGCTGTAAAGAATTGATGCCACAGATCATTAAAATTCCTTGCTGACCTTCCATAAAGAAGGACATACAAATTATAACTCTGTCTAGCACCTGAAACTAATGCCTATTCAAAGCTATGCTAATGATGAATTACATGTTTACAGGTAACAACTAGAGACAGGACAGAATCAGACATTCTTCCACCTACCAGGGACATCTGCACAATTGATGCTTCCTTCACTCTCTTTTTTTCTTCTAAGATTTCCCTTGTTTTATGTAAAATGTACATTTTGGGGGGTCTAACTCCTCCAAGGAGGCAGCATGGATCTCTTCTCCACCCCAACCCTCCCTAGAAGGGCAAAGTAAAATACTTGCAAAGAATTCCCTGGGCTCAGTTTTTATACATAAAAAATAGAGACATTTATAAATACAACTTCAATTTCCTTACTCTGCAACACCAAAGTGTTTATTATTCTGTTATTTGAAACTCAGAGTATCTTTTTCCTATGAAACCATATAAGGTGCAGAGGTTAGGCTTCCACTCCAGCCCACATAAATAATAAAGCCACAGTGCAGCTAAAACAACACTCATTTACAATAAAAAGTTTGGGACAAATTAACTATCACAACACTGATGTTGGCTTTTTTTTAAACCAAAGTAAGAATAGAAATAAAATATAAGAAAGTTTGTATTTATTAAAATGTGTAGACTTAGAGAAAAGAATGGTTGCATAAAAACAAAGGCATAGATAGATTTGGGGGGTTCCAAAAGAGACTTTTGGGTATTTCAGTGGCCCTCAGAAGCTGTTTGTGTAATGTCTAATTAGGGCAAAGAAGGTCTTCTCTTGGTCTGATACAGGGTTATCACCAGTTCCTGCTCTTATCAATGATACCAAAGGATTTTCTTGCATTGCGTGACTCACAAATGGAATGAAAAAAGGCAAGGGAGATTTTTCTTAAGGGAACTGTGAGAGAAAAAAATAGAAGAAAAAAAGGGACAGAGGAAGAGGATCAAGAGGTGAGCAGAGTTGCTTGATGAGAAATTACCCGACCTGTAAGAGTGTGCCCGTGGGCATGACACCCCGGAAGGAAGAAGTCAACGGCACCTGTGACCCCATCCATCCCACAAAGCTGTGCTCTCATGTACAGCTTTTGGAGAAAAGCCAGAAGTCTGTTTCATGGGCAGAGTAGAAAAGGAGGCAGACACAGTCAGTCATGTGTAAACCGTCTCTTTAAGAAAAAGGAAGCAAGTCCTAATTGTACTGGTTTCTGATTGCTGCGGTGTAAACACTCCCAGTCCACCCCCGCCATGGGCAATTTCAGGCTATAATTGTTTAATACTTAAACCAACTGGCTTGCAAAATTCTCAAATATAAGAGAACCCCTGTAAGTTGACCATCCAAGGGATTGTAACGAACTAGTTCAGATATGGAGATGGTCAGCATGGGGAACGAGGCCTACTGCACTGCTTTGTGCATGTGGTGCCTGGCCAGTCTATGAAAACTAGGTCAACTTAAGGAGGTGGTCAACTATGGGAGTTTCACCATACTGAACAGCTTCTACCAACTGCTACAAGCCAGCTCCAACATACCACTAGACAGTGCGACTGCCCACCAGCAGACCCAGGCTACCCAAGCATGCCCTGTCGGGTCCTGTGAGGATGACATTTTCATTATTCTGATGGTTACTTTCTTAAAACTGGCAGAATATCCCTGAAGTTCAGTTAAAGATTATATACCAAAAGCACACCCTTTGTCTAAAAGCTTCCAGAAATCAGAGGGCGGGAAGCCATTTGGTGAGTCTGAATTTAAATTCAAGAGTCATCACATTGCTGAATTCTTAGAACTACATTAAATTTTCTGTTGAGTCCTTCCTCTATATGAGTTTTTAAAAAATAAAAGAAAAAAGTCAGCCGTGATTTTCCAGAATAATTTAAAAGATTTTAAAATCAGGGCCTGTTTTTTATCAGGTGTCAATGCATTTCCAAAATGGGTAAGGAACGGGACTTACTAGACTCAAAGTGGTGAAGAGTATGGACAGGTTTCTTGACACACAGAGTGGCCACCCCTTGAAGTGGAGCGCAGGGGAACCCCACACACAGGAGAGCAGCAAGGAACCCGAGAGGAGCAGGCAGAGCCACAGAGAGGAGCCTGGACGCTATCCTCACACAGCTCCCTGAAGGGCTCCGGCCTACACCGTCACCATTATCTGCTCCAGAGGTTTCCGTTTGAGATCGGGCACTGTGGCATCTTTGCTGGGGTATCCCACGGGGAGCAGCATCAGCAGCTTTTCATGTGCAGGGCGGCCCAAGAGTAACCTCAGACGAGGACCACAGTTGAGAGGAGTGGTAGTGACAGTCACCAGTCCTGCATTCTGAAACAGAAGAGACAAGGGCACCTTGCAGAGCCAGCAGACAGCATCGGAACTCTGCCTCCAGCCTGGGGACCTTCATCCTTGGCACACTTGCTCGTCTAATCATTTCTCAGAAGTTGGGCAGCAAAGAGGCTGCCAGCTCAGGCACCGTGAGCCACGATCTCCCCACCCCTGACTTCTTTTAAACCAAGCGGTGGGAATTTTCTGGGAGCAGAAAAATACTAGTCTTATTTTTCATTGATGCTTAAAAAATACGAAGGATTATTTTATGGAGAGAAACTGGGGGAACCCAACTACACCAACAATGGCAGAACCAACAGGGAGAGCCTTTTGGCTAAGGGGTCAGTCCTGCATCCTGGCACAGACCCAGGTGACAAACACAGTCCACCAAAGTGGCATCCCTGCCCAAATTCTACTTTAATTTTGTTTTGTTTTGTTTTTTTTTTACTAAATATTCTTTCCTGAATTCCATTCCATCTGTCTGGAATCTACAGGTTGTAAATCAGTATCTATAATATTGGCATTTGAACCTCTGTATATGTACATATGTGTGTATACAGTTGTGTGTCAGGTAATGGTGGGAATATGTTCTAGGAAATATGTCAGTAGGTGATTTTTTCATCGTGTGAACAGAGTGTACAGACCCAGATAGTACAGCCTACTACACACCTTTGTGGTCTAGCCTATTGCTCCTTGGCTACACACCTGTACCCAGGTGTCACTCCACTGAATACTGCAGGTGATTATAACACAAGAATAAGTATTTGTGTATCTAAGCATAGAAAAGGTACAGTAAAAATACTGTGGAAAGGATTAAAACTGGCCACCCATACAGGGCCCTGACCATGAACGGGGCTTGCAGGACTGGAAGTCGCTCTGGGTGAGTCAGTGAGTGCTGAGGGAAGGTGAAGGCCTGGACATTACTGGGTACTACTGTAGACTTTATAAACTCCACACACTTGGCCTACACTAAATTTATAAAAACAATCTGTTTCTTTATTCCTAATAAATTAACCTTAGCTTACTGCAACTTTTACTTTATAGATTTTTTAATTGTTTTTAATTTTTTGACTCTTGTAATAACATTTCACTTAAAATACAAACACATTGCACAGCTGCGTAAATGTATTTCTTCTTTATATCCTTATTCTATAAGCTTTTTTCAATTTTTAAATGTGTTTATTTAATCTACTTCTAAGACTTTCTTTTGTTAAAAACTAAGACACCAACACACACATTAGCCTAGGCCTACACTGGGTCAGGATCATCAATATCCCTGTCTTCTGCTGGAACATCTGGACCCACGGGAGGTCTTCAGGGCCATAACACACAGGGAGCAGCCATCTCCTTTGACAGCAGCGGCTTCTTCTGGAACACCACCTGAAGGACCTGCTTCCTGCTTGAGGCTGTTTTTACAGTTAACTTTTTTTCTTTTAGTAAGTAGAGGGAGTACATGCTAAAGAATGATAAAACATATAGTATAGTAAATGCACACATAGTAACATGGTTGTTTATTACCACCATCAAGTATGGTGCATTGCATATAACTGCCTGTGCTACACTTTCACACGGACTGGGCCTGCAGAAGGTCAGTTTACACAGCGTCCCCTCCACACACGCGTGCGGAATGCATTGTGCCGCTACTAGACTGTAGGAATCTTTCAGCTGCATTATAATCTCATGGGACCATCATCTTATCTGCAGTCCCTCATTGGCTGAAATGTCATTCTGCAGCACATGACTCTATAATTATTTATATATATATGGATCTGGGGGACTTAATACGGTCTCTTGCTGAAGGTCTTTGATACTATTTATCATTCTACACTTTGATTCCTAAAGCTTTTAGAACGCCTGTCTATTCTCAAGAACACATGGATTGAAAAATCTATTGACTTCTTCTGTCATCAGCTTAGATTATATCTCTAGTTCTCTTCCTTTTTCATACCTTCACATAGTATTTAAATTTGAAATGGATGAATTTTGAACTTTCCACTGAGGAAATATTTATAGCTTAATCTGGTGTCATTTTATATTTTGGTCCTTTTTAAAGACATAGTGTTTACCCCATGCTTAATTCTTCATATTTTTCATAGTAGAAATTTAGGAATACACAGAACGTATTAAGCAACGCCTCTTAGTACTATTAAGCTGATTTCTATTAATATTTTATCTTTCAGTCTCTCTTAATGTGAGTGCTTTGGGCTTATTATAGATCTGAAAATTTTTAGCTGGAATCCTCAGAGCCCCAAAGGACTGAGGACTGAATTCAGCAGGTCTGTGAACTCGGGCAGAAAAAGCAATGCATCTTATATCCATGAACATCTAACTGAAATGTAGCGTTTTCTTCCTTTCTAAATGCAGGCAACAAACCACAGTAGTATCAGCAATATCTACGACTTTGTCACCAAAAAGATTCACAGATATTTTCATATCACTTTATAGTTGCTAGGAAGTTGTAATGATATCTTAAAATATCACTACTTTCGTCAGTACTTTAACAGGCTTGCTGCCAGATATTGGTAATTAATATATTAATAAAGTCTTACACATTTTATTCTAGATGACCACAACCATAGGGAGTTCCTACAACTACAGAATCAACATGGAAGCAGAGCCTCATGCCCAGGGAAGATGCCAGTGCCCAAGGGTAGGGGACCCAGTGACCAAGGGGTGCCCCATCAACCTCTCTTCAAGCCTCCAAATACTAAACATCTGAGTAAAAACACTGCGTAGCTTCCAGACACCTCCCCAGCTCCCCTCTCCAGCTTTTCCAATCAAATTGACCCAATAAACCAGAAAGAAGTTGTGGAGTCTACGCGTCACGTGTGCCTCACTGCTCACCATGCTCTGGGTGGGGGCTCCGGGAAGATTTTTCTTTCCTCCCTGGCAAATCACGACCTATCCAAGAATCATGCCTTTTGGACGCAAGAGGGCAGCAAGCTCAACAGCAAAGTGAGACGGAGCCCTGGCTTTGCAGGAACAGAGTCCGCTGGGGAACTGAGCTCTCTCCGGGCTTAAAGTGCTTCTTCCAGGACCCCAACACCGGGTCTGGAAGGTCTGACGCTGCTCAGTGATTCCTTTGTCAGATTACAGACTCGGAAAGGAAATCAACTGCCAGCTCCTTCAGGACGATTTTTCATGTAATCTGAAAACATTCCTTTTGCGTAACGATGACTTTGTTTTGCAAGGTGGTATTCAGCACACACATTTTTCTTAGAGATAGTGAGTAGGCTGGGTTTTTTAAATCAGTTTTCCCTTACAAGTATGATCCTTCCCTGGCTGTATTTATTTTATGTGTTTGCTCTCCCCACCGCCTACCCGGACCCCAGACCCCACAGACGGCTCAGGTGCCTCTCAGGGACTGCCCCATAGGAACCGCTCGGAAAGTATATGTCAAAGGAACAAATTGGGTACGTTGGAAGGTAAGCCTCAATGCTGCCCCATTTCACGTCGGTATTCTAGCCACGATACAGATATGGCTTTTTAAGCCCACTGTCATCTCCTAATACACTACAAGGCGAACTTCTCAGCAAAGGAGCTCTGGGAAAGAGTGCTCCTTTCGGGCTGGTAATTGTTCCTTCAGCTCAGACAGCAACAACAAACATCTCCCGAGTTAGTCTCCCTGAGAAATTCTTCCCGTTGTGCCTGCCAAAACCCTTGGAACTTCATGTTGAACAGATGAAGGCAACCGCAGCAACAAGTTTTCTAACTCTGAAATGATCTGACTAGTGAATTCCTGGGAAGAATTCCAGCTTGTTGAACCATCATCCTTAACCCAGCCCAGGTTTTTAGAGTCAGTTTTCACACTGGAGATACCTTACTTACGAGCTCGACTCGAGGGAAAACAATTTCCAAATTTCCAGGAATTTAAAGCTTAGTTGAAATATTCTAAGAGGGTCACGCTTGGTCCCCCAAGTCTCACTGGTCTTTCTTGGGCCTGGGGGAGGGCACCATACCTGCAGGGCAGCTAGGAGGATGCCACAGGCGATGGAGACGCTGATCTCATTGTAGTAATGGACCCGCTTCTTGCCGTTCGCAGCGATACCATGTATTTGTTTGAAAATGAGAATCAAAACAGGGGCGGTGTCCAAGTACTCTTTAATCCAGTTGGTTCTCAGGGAAGAAAAGAGATTCCAGAGAATATCGGCTCTTATTTTTGGTTCCGTTTTTATAATCTTAGCGTATTAATGTCAAAGTCATAGCATATTTCTTTTTTATATTAGAAATTGAAAAAGTATAGAATTGTTGTTTGTTTGTGCCCTGTTCATATTTTCTGTCAAAGGAGCTTAGGAAATCTCACCCCAAAATATGACTCTGTGGTACAAAGAGTAATTTGAGTTAAGGGCCCTTAGAGATCCATAGGCCCTTGAAAGGGGCTTCCCCTCCATCTGTAGCCCCAGAAGGACTCATCCAAGAGCAAAAGACTTCCCTTCCCCTCCCTCTTATCTCAATAAATTGCTGGAAAGAATATCTGGAACGAAACCAGACCTGGTCCAAATCATTTTATTATTTTATTTATTCATTTATTTAGTTAGTTAGTTAGTTAGAGGCAGAGTCTCACTCTGTAGCCCTGGGTAGAGTGCTGTGGTGTCATAGCTCCCAGCAACCTCAAACTCTTGGGCTTAAGAGTTCCTCTTGCCTCACCTTCCTGAGGAGCTGGTTCTACAGGTGTCCACTACACACTCACCTATTTTTTTTTTCTATTTTTAGTAAAGACGAGGTCTTGTTTTCTCAGGCTGGTCTCAAACTCCTGAGCTCAAGGGCTCCTCCTGCCTTGCCTTCGCAGAGTGCTAAGATTACACGTATGAGCCATCAGCACCCAGGCTGGCCCAAATCACTCTATTTTATTTCATTTTTATGTTATTTATTTATTTATTTATTTAGACAAAGCCTTACTTTGTTGCCCTGGGTAGAGTTCTGTGGCATCATAGGTCACAGCAACATCAAATTCCTGGGCTCAGGTAATCCTTTTGCATCAGGCTCCTGAGTAGCTGTGACTACAGGCGTCTCCCACAATGCTTGGCTGCCTAAATCATTTTAAATATAAGCCCTTTGTCTCAGTTAATTTACAAGTCAGTCTGTTTCCCATCCATTCACCCTTCCTAGCAACAATTTATTACACCTAAACAGAATTACCTATATTTTTCATCTGCCCCTTTCCTCGAAATGAGGGTGTAAAAACTTCTGGACCCCACTGGGATATCAAATAATCACTCTGACTCTTCCCAGGTACACAGTAATAAACCTTTCTCTTATTAATCTGCCTTAATTGTGAGTTGATCTTTCAGTGAACTTTCAGGAGAAAGGGGACATTTCCCCTCACCCCCACACCATCAGTTATTGACAAGTGTTGAGCACAGCAAGGCATAGGATATGCTGGAAGATACAAGGATCGATCCTGTAACTTGGAGTGCACTAAGCCCACATGCAGTGAAAATGAAACCTGGTGAATGCTGTCCAAGAAACAAGTGCGTTGAGGGGCCCTCAAAACTGAAATGTTAATTCTGAATAAGAAGATTGAAAGAAAATTCCCAGAAAAGGCCTCGAGGCGCTGAAGACCAGGCAGAGAAAGGGGATTGGGAAGGCATCCTGGGCAGAGCCAGATGAGCAGAAGTGGGACAGGATCCAGGATAGAAGCCAGCAGGGAAGAGTCCGGCTGACTGTGAGGTTTAGCTGAAATCGTAGCGGGGTAGATGGCAGTGCAGTCTGCCCAGTTACGGAAAGAAGGGAGAGAACTTTCGTGGGAGTGGGAGGTCCGGGAGGTTTAGAGATTTTCATTTTCCAGCTTAGAACTTCTCTTTCTTGGTTCCATTATTCTGTCCCTTACATTTTGGCAGAAGTTGCATTTTAACACAGATATTCCAAAGTCAGACAACCCCATATACTGGAATTTTCCTTAGGATATATCGTGTCATTGTTAGCCAGAGTTGGTCCCCATTCATTTCATTTCTGGCCTAGGTACAGCCTTGCTGTTTTGAAAGCACACTGAACTCACTGTGTATTTTTCCATGGTTCCTCTTAGACTAGTAATGTCTACAGGTTACACTTGCAAAGTTACTTTACCAAAGTTCAGCCTGCTTAGTCACCCTCGACTGCCATTGATTCTTTTCTCCTTGCAAAGAGGGAGAAAGGTTAATGGTTTTGAGACCCACTCTGGAGCCAGACGAGCTTGGCCATGTGGGGCCACTTACCCTCCCACGGCTCAGTTCCTCCTGTGTCAAGTGTCCCGTGGAAAATGTGCTGTTGTGTACCCATCCCCCATGGCCACTGGGCGGGTAAAATTAGTTAAACCATATAAAGAGGCTTTCGATAATGCAAACATTGAGAATTCTAAATCATGGAAGTGTAAGTAGAGAAGAATCCCTTTTATCCACCTTCCTGGCTCACGGGGTGAATGAACACTCTCCTGCCCCTTGATAGCTACAGCCCTCTTTTTGGTGCCAGGGTCCAGTTTTATGGAAGATAATTTTGCCGTTGTAGGGGGATGTTGGACTCTCATAAGGAGCATGCAACCTAAATCCCTCACGTGCAGTTTACAGAGGGCTCCAGCTCCTACGAGAATCTACTGCTGCCACTGATCTGACAGTAGGTGGTGCTCAGAGGAGGGTGCAAGTGATGGGAGCACTGAAGATAAAGACCACGCTTTGCTCACTGGCTCACACTCATCTCGTGCTGTGCAGCCCAGTTCCTACCCGGCCATGGACCAGTACCAGTCCATATCCTGGAGGTTGGGGACACACTGACTGTGCCTTCAGTGCCTGGAGCAGACCAGGGATGCTGCTCTCCAGGGCACCCAGCAATTCCACAGCTCCCAGTTGAGTTGAAAGTTATCAAGAGACTGTGTGTGTGTTCCCCAAGTGGGTTCTATTAGATAAGCCTGTATTCTATATGGGTACTTCCATGATTTAAAATTCTGATGCTCGTATTATAAAGGAAAAATAAAAATTTCAGGAGTCCCTAGAGCCCATTCTGCCAAAAAGGAGAGCTAAGCCTGGCCACTGAGTGACACAAGCACTCCCACCCTCTTGGACTTGCCCTTTACAAATTGGTAAAGGGTGTGAGGCAAGACCGTGGTGAGGGCCCAAACTTGGCAAAGGCACAGGCAGAGCTGAAAATATTGCCTAGTTTGCTTTCCTGTAATAGCGACTCAGGAGTCATGCAGCTGATGGTCATAAAGATTCTTAACTTTGTCCACAGAGAACTTCAAAACCTAAGGCTAGTTTTTGAGATCTTTTCCAGGCCCCCCATATCTTCCAGGATTGGCTGACCCCCTACCTCCACCAGTGGCCCATACCAAGGAACTAACTCAACTTCTATTGCCGTCCCCACCCAGGACCAGACTCAGCATGAGGAGATGATTTCTAAACCCCTGTAATTTTGCCCCAAACCTAGCCAATTAGCAGACCCAATCACCTAATCCTTTGCCTGCCAAACTATCTTTGAAAACTCTTCTCCCAAATTCTCAGGGAGGCGTCTTTGAGGAATTTCTCCTGTCTCCTCTCAGCGCTCTGTGAGCTAAAACTGTTTCTCCACTGCACCTCTGTCTCGGAGTATTGGTGCTTCTCTGCTCAGCAAAGGTTTCTAAAAAATGGTTGTCTATAAAATGAGAAGAAAAGAAAACTGATAATTAAAATCCTAGGTGGTATGGCTGTTTGAGATAGATGAGAGGTGTGTGTGAGATGATTCCAGCACACAGGTGAGAGGGCAATTAATGCTTCACTGCTGAGGACAGTGACAGGGACAATAGTATTTAGTAGGTACTGTGCACACCTGGAGTACAGCATCTCTTGAAGTATAGCGACTCAACTCAGCTTTTACCAATCCCAGTTTTTTCCATGAACATTCAGCCAGACTTACATAATAGTTATTACTATTCCCACACTTTGTCTGGAGCAAAGTGTAAGTAACAAGTCCATAAGACATCAGTCTGGATAAAAATTGTCCTCTGGTCCCAAATAACTGAAAAAGGAGCAAGCCAAGAGGCCACCTTTTCATCAGATCCACTCTAACTGTCCAAGGAAATGTCACTTCAGTCCCCTAAAAGCGACATCCCATTATTCGTCCTTTCTTAGGGTTGTGCCACCGTGGGGTGTTGGGTGACTGGTGTCGAATGGGCCACTGAAGGCCCCCCACAGCTGAGAGACAGAGTTATTAAGTATCTCTCCTGGGCATTGCAAGTGCTGGACCTGTGGGGCCCCTGGAGAGGTCAGGGCCATTATCGCTACCTGCCATGCCCCTCACACTCAGCCTAGGAAGACAGAGGGCAGGGAAGGCCCTGGCCTTGGACGCACTGTAGTGAAACTAGCCGCACTGAGATCCCTGCCACTTCTCTCCTGGAGATGAGGGAGCCTGCAGAGTTCCTAACACCTCCCAGAGAGCCCACTGGTACCAAGCTTGTCCTAAAACTAAAGCCTGCTTCATCCACTCATTTGGAAGAGCTGATCACTTTAGCGAAGTGTAACCTGCTTCACTCAAGATCTTGAGGGGTATTTCACAATCTGACGCTCCAGGATCAGTGTACAATGATTCCTTGAAGTTTACTTCACTAAGCAGTTATTTGGATCAGAGCCTATTTATTTAGCAAAGACGCATATGGCAATATGGGGGCAGGGCCTGAAGCAGCGTCCACGGTTCCTCCCAGAGACACAAACACACTTTCTAACACTTAATCAAATCAGGAAAGGGCAGTGGGAGTTCTTTCACTTTAAGAGGCCAAACCAGACATTCCCAATTTCACCAACTTGTGTACCTCAGTTTCTTCAGGTCCGAAACCCATCGGTGCCCCATTCTTTTCATGTAGTTTATCTCCTCTTCCTCCTCGATGATCTGGCGAATCTCGTGTTTCATGTCTGGGTCCTTCACAACCACGAAGGTCCAGGGCTCTGTGTGTGCCCCACTGGGGGCTGTCCCTGTCACCCATTAAATCAAAACCAGAAATTAAAGCTGCAGGAAAGCGTGAGACTGTTAGTTAAGAACACATGTAATTAAAGCTGGCTCAGAATAAAGTGAGGTAACCTGAAAAACCAAGTGCTTGGCAGAGGGCTCTGGCGTGAGCGGCTGACCACATGCTGGTCAGCGTCCTCCAGGTGTCTCTGAACTGATGTTATCAAGATACGCTCAGCGCTGCTCAGGCTGTGGGCACCTATCCCTGTTCTCTAGTTACATGAGCGAGAGCATCCTAACTAACTATACCAGGCATCCTCAAACTACGGCCCGCAGGCCACATTGGGACACCAGGACTGAGTCAGGTATGGACCGAGGATTCCCGAGGCCCTCGGGGGTAGAAGACACACAGGTTTGCATGCTGAGTGCCCAAAGCCAAAGGTTTGGCCATTTACCCCAAATGAGGACATTTATCCAGCCCACCTGGTGTTTTTGCCGCTGCTGCCTGTCCTTTTAAACTATAGTCCAGCCTGCCAACAGTCTGAGGGACAGTGAACTGGCCCCCTGTTTAAAAAGTTTGAAGACCCCTGAACTACACCATGACCACCAAGGAGAAAAACTCCGAGGGCAAACTGTAACAGCCAGAATTCTCCAGACTGTCATCCGTTTTGATAGACTTGAATGAGGACAACGTCACGAAGCTTATGAGGAAAGGCAAATTGTATTTGGCAACATGGTTTTACAAACACTCCTTAAAAGGCGACTAAACTATAAATGGCTCATGACTCTTTCAAAGTCCTGAGTGTGACACTGTGAAGTCTGAGCTCTCACTGGGGACACACGGAGTTGGGAAACCTTTGGCTGTGGGCACTCAGCTTGCACACCTGTGTGTCTTCCACCCCCAAGGGCCTCGGGAATCCTTGGTCCACACCTGAATCAGTTCTGGTGTCCCAGGACAAAGCTCCGCAGGGCATCACCTTCATACAAGGAGCTTAAATTCTCTTGAGATTCCAGAGACAGCTTGGGCCAGCTTCTGACCTGGGTGTCACCTCTTGGTCCTAGAGAAGCCCAACTATTCCCAAGGACAGGCAGCAGTGACATAGCAGGGCTATGTCAGAAACCCCTATTCCTTCCTTCCTGATTCCTTTTTAATGGAATAAGTTCTGCTTCTGGAAGGTGTAAGGTCTCAGACTCTTGATGGGCTTCTTGCTTACCACAAACCACTTCAATACTACAAGTGGCCAGAAAATTTAAGTCAAAAGCTAAACCTGAGGCCCCAATTTCTGCACAGAATGATTCTGGTTAACTTTGTGCCCATTTTATTTTTCCACTAAATATTTGTATCTCTAAATACAAGAAATAAATTTCTCCCTAATGTTTCAAGTTGTGCCAAATTTACCTTAACGTAATAGGTGTATGTGCATATATACATACAGACATAGATCAATGGGAATTTTAGTAACTGGGGTTAGTTACATAAAGGACTCAATAACCTAGTGCATTTATATCCTTAATGAGAACAAAATATCTTATTCTTGCTTCTTTTAAAGTGGGATAATGTATTCACAATGGGCATATGATAATTTGTACAAATAAACTTAAAATCTGATTGACATAGGAATAAGACCCCAATCAGAGGAGGCTCTCAGGCCAGGGGCTTTCTCATCTATACCCCTCCTTTTTCTGTAGCTATTTATTTATTTTTACCTCTGAGAAGATATTATTTCTGTTTAAAATGGGCTTGTCTTTCTTTGTGTTACTTTATAAATTCACACCAGTAAATTCTGCTAGTTCATTAGAATGCTACAGAGCATTGTAGTGTGTAATTTGAGGAATATTCTTCCTAGAAGACCAATGTGTAAGTGTGCATGAGTGAGAGTGTGTGTGTGAGAGAGAGCGTGTGTGTGTGTGTGTGTGTGTGTGTATGTGTGTGTTTTAGGGGGAGGGGAATAAAAAGGGTGTTTCCCTTTGAATATATAATGATATGTTTAGAAATCTCACTTTTAAATACAAGCTCATAAAACTGAATAATTTCAGGAGTTCTGAACTACTGTCATGTCACATCTGCTTGCAAGAACTCCATAATACTCAAAATGTAAGAAGTAGAAATCATGATGTTTCTGGCAGTCACTCAACACTCGGGTGAGACTTCGTAGGTAAACATGTCGCTGTAGATTTTATTTACAGTTTGGACTTCAGTGTTTTCTAATGTTGGAGTCACACCAGTGAGGCAGCTGACTGTCTCAGAGACTAATGGCAATTACAAACCTGCGGCTCTGATGACGTTGTCAATGACCTCCGTCGGGATTTGCTCATTACTTATGAACCGGACTGACCGTCTCTTATTGAGAAGTTCATAAAATTCCTGGGATCTCTTAACCATTTCCTTCTCGGGATAGCGGCTATGGGAGAATGGAATGTGTTCGACGTTTTCCTCTGATTCCTGCCACTCATCAGCATCTGCAAATAAGAACAAGGAAGGTGGCTAATTGAATGATCTCTCTGGGTTATCAGGTGGCTACAGAAAGAGATAAAGTTCTCAGAAATGCCTGCAGGATTATGAGCTAAAAACAAACAAAGCAAAAACCAACATAAAACAAAAGAAAACAAAAAGACCGACATAAAAATATCCCCCCAAACAATAAAACTTTAAAAAAGAAATAGAGCTATAGAATCCTGATCACTGACCTTGACTATCCGTCCAACTTGTTATACTTGTTAAAAATTTGTTCTACTCATATATCAAGAAAAAGAAGATTTGTACCTACTAAAAGATGAGGAATTCAAATTTCTGTCAGTGGTGGACCAGGTTATTTCAAATAGTCTCCCATCAGCTGAAAAACACTCAGATCACTAAATTAAGTATTTTCTTAAAAGTCCTTTTAAAATCACAGTAAGAAATTTCCAGGCCAAACTAAAAGGAAAATACAAACCTACCCAGATAAATAGGTGCAGAAGCTACATTTTCTCTGATTGTATTTGCCAGTCCCTGCATATTTGAATTTCCATTTTAATATATCTTCATGGATCAAGGATGACAGACATCAAAGCCCAGGCCCACAGACAAGGGGAAGTCTAGTAAGCTGGAACTCCAAGACCACATCTTTAGGTAAATTGTGAATCATAAATAAACCAGCCCTCAAGGGCTTCTATCATTTTTATGAGTTTTGCCTCAAACTTGAACTTGAAATAAGGCTGTTCTTCCTGATAGTGCTCCAGTATCACAGTATGTAGTGTACAGTATATAGATAATTTTAAGTACAATTGCCAGCAACTCACCAGATGCAAACAGGCACATAGAGAACCATCTTTAATAAGAAATATCAGAATCAATTTTCAAAAATAAAGTCAGATGCTCACAGACTTCAAATATTGGAATTGTCAGACTCAGATGATAAAACAACTATGACTACTATGCTTAGAGAAAAAAAGACAAACATGTAAATTTGTAGGATTTAGGAAAAGATAAAAAGTAATGGAGACTGTGTAAAAAACAGAACTTCTAGAAGTGAAAAATAATGGAATCGAGAACTTCATGGATGTATTTACCAGCAGGGAAGATGAACTAAAGAAAAATTAATAAACTGGGGATAGGTCAGAAGAAAATACTAGAATAGGGAAAAAAACAGAGGAAAAAGAGCAAGAAAAAAATCCCCGTGAGCCTGTCGAATATGCGTCATTCAATTCATGAGAATATGGCTGAGGCAATATTTTAAAAAGTAGTGTCTGCAATTCTCCCAGAACTGATGAAAAATAGCAAATCTATAGATTCAAGAGGCCTAGTAAATTCTTTTTTAAAATAAGAACTGTAGTTACTTTTTAGTGACATTAAACACAACTGCTGTAAGAGAAATATATATATACATTATAAAGAAGAGGCACCAAACTTCAGTTTCATAATTAATCCTAATAAAAATGCAAGTAAATCAGAAGCTGCATTAGATTCAAAACTATAGGTTATTTCAGGCTCCTTACTTAAAGAAAACTATGTGAACAGTACTCTTTGACTCTGAGACTCAGTAAATTCTAAGCATTAATTAAAAAGAAAAAAAACCCACACCTCTCATAGCCAATATAAAATCTTAAAAGCAACCAGAGGGGGAAAAATTACTTCCAGAAGAACAAGAATAGCTAAATTTTTAATAGTAACAAGAATCACTGGATTAAATATAAAGGCTCCTGAGAAAGGCCCATAATTTTTTTACATCCAAATACATTATTTATAAGAGACACATCTAAAACATGGTATAGAAAGGTGGAAAGGTATACCATGCATCAGGGTGGAAAACTTATTCCAGGCATCATATAAATATAGTAACATCAAAAGAAAGAGAAATTGAGGCACTACGGGCAATAAATTCACTTTATAGCAATACAATTTAATGTGCCTGGAAAATGTAATTTTAAATATATATTCATTTGTATCACATGGCCTTGAGATAGGCTTTCAAGAAGAAATGTTAAAATCCATAGTCAACAATGAAAGGTCTTCACACATCTCTCTCAGTAATGCTAGAAAATAAGCCGGTGAAAAAAATCAGTAAGGACCCAGAAGACTTGAATACAATAATTGATAAAGATAACCAAATGGCTGTGTATAAAACACTTTATCAAACTTATACAGAAGACACATACTTTTAAAGCAGACTCAAAATACTCACAAAAATTAACAACACATTAGACCAGAAAATAACTCTCAACACATTTTAAAGATTTAATAGATAATGATCTCTGACCACAATGCAATAAAGCTAGACATCAGTTACAAAAAGACAACTCAAAAAAACACCCTCCAACTCACATGAAACCTTGATACCAAAACATTACTAGGACATTAAAAGAAAGTCTACAGGCTCAGCTCCCCCATAAATACAGATTACAAAAATCCTAAACAAAATATGAGTAACAATTCAGCCAAATAGAAAAAACAATACATCTTCGCCAAGTTGGGATTATCCTAGGCACTCAAGGTTAATTTAACTTCAGAAAAACAATCATTTTTTTTCTCACATTAACAAGCTAAGGGACATAAACCATAAAATTACTCCGATGAAGAAAAAGCATTTGATAAAATTTGACATTTATCTTTGAGTAAATTTGAAGTCAGAAAAACCTGCTTAATCTGATAAACCTGTTTAATCTCCTAACTATGGAAGGAAAATACCCATGTCCAGCTGTGTGGCTAACCTCAAAACACCGAAACGTTTCCATCAGAGATTGAGAACAAAAGGATGTTGAATGTTCTCAATGCAATTCTGCATATAAAAGACTAATTTTTAAAGCTTTTAGAAAAGAAGGCCAGGTGTGGTGGCTCACACCTGTAATCCTGGCATATGGGAGGCCACAGCTGGTGGATTGCCTGAGTTCATAGTTTCAAGACCAACCTGAGCCAGAGAAAGACCCCTGTCTCTAAAAATAGCCAAGAACTGTGGCAGGCGCCTGTAGTCTCAGCTACTTGGAAGGCTGAAGCAAGAGAACTGCTTGAGCTCAAGAGTTTGAGGCTGCTGTGAGCTATGATGCCACAGCACTCAACTGAGGGCAACAAAGTGTCACATACACACAAAAAAAACTTTTAGAAAAAAAAATATAGAAGAGTATCTTCATAACCTTAGTGTGGAGAAGAATTTCTTAACACACAAAAATACAAACCATAAGAAAAAGACAGTTTAATTTAATTACATAAAATTTACCATTATAGTTGCCTGCTTTTGCCACTTCTGGTTTTCCCTATTAGCCTCCTATTCAGAGAGTTTTGGAAGCTCATTATGTGAGCTCAGGATCTTAGAGAAGATTTAGATGCATTAGGAGATTCAGTAGTTAAAGCCAAAAATGGCAAAACGGAGGAAGAAAAAAATGAACCCAGAGATAAGGCAGAAGATAAAAAGGAAGATGTGTCTGGGCACTCAGCCTCCCCAAACACAGACCCAATTATGTTTCATAGAAGGATATTTTCCAATAAATAACACTGGAGATTGTTATTATAGGTAAATAACACAGGGAAGACCCTGGCAGGCTTTACAAATAAGGGCTCAGAAGACCTTATTGTCAACTCCCCAGATACATCATTCCGCTATTCTCAGAATTGTTGGTTATATATCCAAAATTTCATAGCTCTTTCTCTGAATACTGAGTGTTTCTTCATTTCTTTCAAGTTCATGAATAAACATACTTTTGCTCTAAACTACAAAGATTTCAACAGAAATAAATTTCAAGATGCTGTCTTCAATCAAACACTTAAAATTATTGAAAAAGGAAATGCTTAGGTGAAAAAAAAATACACACACACACACACACACACACATATATATTCCTTGCTTGTCTTAGGCAGGTCTTGAGCTTAGGGTTGTTGTTGAACTTTGTCAACTTCCGGAATCTAAGAGGCAAAAGATTCCTAAAGGAGACCAATGCAGAAAGTAGGCCTCAGTCCATCAAATCAGAATAAATTGACATGAGTTAGATTTTTTTAGGGAACTCTGAATCGCATAACAAAAGCTTCACTGAGAAGGCTGCCCAGGAAATAGCTCCTGACAGTATTACTGGGATCTAATGAGTAGATGTTTATTTTACACAACAGTTTAGTCTTTACTAAACTGCCCTAGTATTTTTCGGCCTGATGGGAATTGGCGTACAGAAGCCGTAGCACAGTAGCAAGAAGCTCCTGCATGGAAAGAACAGACCATGTTCCTGAAGGTGCTCAGTATTCACTTTCCTAAAGTAACAAATTTGGGATTTCTTTCAAATCATTAAAATCTATGTGTGTGTATGTGTCTCATCCAAATCGTTACTGTCCTACCTCAGCTGTGTCTTTAGAAGACTGAATATAATGTGTCGTGTATTTTTATCATTGGCAACCTCCCCCAAACCCAGTTTATGTTTGTCTCATAGGACGTATGTCTCATACCTTGAACTGTGTGAGAGGAGACAATTATTTCTTACATTGTTCTTTGAGTAGTTATAAATCCACTTTAATTGCATTGATTAGCTGATACTGTGGTTGTGGTTATGGTTGTGGTGACTGCGGTTGTGGCATCTACTAAAGCTGCAGGCCCCAACCCCTAGGTCATGACCAGGACCAGTCCAGGGCCTGTTAGGAACTGAGCTGCCCAGCAGGTGAGCAGCAGGCAAGCAAGCGAGACTTCACCTGTATTTACAGCCGCTCCCCATTGTTCACCTCACTGCCTCAGCTCCACCCCCGTCAGTCACATCAACAGTGACATTAGATTTGCACAGAAGGGTGAACCCTACTGTAAACTGTCCCGGCAAGGGATCTAGATTGCACGCTCTATGAGAATCACATGCCCCCACCCCAGGTGCATGGAAAGACTGCCTTCCGTGAAACTGGTCCCTGGTGCCAAAGGGTCAGACACCATTGCACTAAAGGGTTTCCACTTCCAATATTGGTTAGTTAGATAATTTGTAACAACCTCCAAGCTAAAGAAAACTAAAACCCTTAGTAAACT